AGATGAGCAGGTCTGTCCAGCGCGCGTTCGCGTCGATGCTCGGAGAAGATGACGGCGAGGAGGAGGAGGACGAGGATGACGGAGAAGATCATTCCGGACAGCCGTCTGCGGGGGACGTGTTCGCTCTGGAAATGGAACTCGACAGAGAAAACAAGAAAATGATGAAGGTAACGCTGCCCATGCGGCGGAGGGAGGGAGGTCTGTCTGGGGGCGGAGACTGTAACTGGAATCGGCTCTTTAGGTTCCAGCAATGCGGAGTTGGCTTTGCTGATCTGATGGGATCAGAGATAGTGGGGGGACGATGACGCTTAGAACCCCTAAAACGCGTTAGGCCGTGTGCCATGGCATGGCTCTGTGTGAAGACGGGGGGGGGGAAGGGGAGGGGATCCTTTAGACTCCTATGGTCACCTCTGCACTTCATTGAAGCTCCTCAGGCACGGATCATGGCTACAGTGGCCAGTGCTGAACCTGGAAGTGCCAAAAAGTTGTCGCTTCCAGGTTCCTTCGCTGCAGGAACAGTGAATTGCTCAGGTGGAGGACCCTAAGAAAAAACTGGGGGGTTAAGTGGTCGTTTGGTCTAGGGGGACTCCAATAAACCGGTTCTACTCACCTGTCCCCACCCCAGTGGTGGCCAGCACTCACCTGTCTCCCTGTCCACCATGACTGGTGGGGTGGAATGTCCCTTGGCGTCCTCTCGTCCAATGCAAGTCAATGGACCTGCACAAGACACCAACGGTCCTTAGCCCCAGGAGGGAAGAGGCTGCTTGGGGACCGGTCTGGCAGCCCTCAAGGGCACAAGACACCAATGTTCCTCAGCCCCAGGAGGGAAGAGGCTGCTTGGGGACCGGTCTGGCAGCCCTCAAGGGCACAAGACACCAACGGTCCTTAGCCCCAGGAGGGAAGAGGCAGCAAAGGATTGGTCTGGCAGCCCTCAAGGACTGAGGTTCAGGTGAAATGTTCCCGGAGTTCTTCTGTATTGTCTGCATGTTTGCTTCATTGTAACCGCATTGATTTTGCATCTCTTTCTGCTTTAGGCCAAAAGGCCGCGCAGCAAACTCCCCAGAGCCCTCCGGGGCCTCATGGGAGAGGCCAACATCCGCTTTGCTCGGGGGGAGCGGGAGGAAGCCATTATGATGTGCATGGAAATCATTAGACAAGGTATGCCCCCTCCCGACGGCTTCAATGTCAATCTTTGTTTTTCGGGAGCTGGAAGCCGGAGCGACGGAACAACCGCGCCATTGTGCGAACGGCTCGGGGAACTTTTTGTGGTGTGTGTTTTTGAGGTTGTCACTGATTGGACGAATGGCGAAGGCGCAAATGTATCCACGGCGAGTCCGTTCTATCTACTGAATAACGAATGCGGCATTTTAAGGAGCGAGGCCTTTATTTTCGTTTTTTTGCACCCATCTTATAATCCACATTTTAGGATTAGAAAATTATATATTTTCTGAAAGCCCGAGACCCCGTGGAGTAAAATGGCGGCAGTTGGAAATTTTTATGTTGCACGACATTAGCGCAAACCCAAAAATTTAGCGAAAAATGCACTTCAGTTAAAATTAGCGCCCCCAAAACACAATAAAATACCATTTTTTTGGGTAAAATATAAAAGACGAGGTTACATCGAGTAAATAGATACCCGACGTGCCCAGGTTAAAAATTTGTGCGCGTCCGTGAAACTGCGATAAAATTCAGTAGCCCAAAAAGTCCATAGACGACGCTTTAACCCCTTAGGGACCAAGGCCTCTTTTTTCATTTTATGCAACCATGTTATAATTTACATTTTAGGCCTGAAAATGACTTCAAACCCCCCAAACATTCTATATTTTCTGAAAGCCGAGACCCTGTAGAGTAAAATGGCGGCAGTCGGAAATTTTTATGTTGCGCGGCATTAGCACCACTGTTTATCAAACCCCCAAATTTTGTGAAAAATGCGCTTAAAGGAGAACTATGAGGGGGGAGGGGCTTTTCACTCACCTCATAGTTCTAGCCGACCTGTGACAATGAGAATGTCACAGGTTGGCTCAGTAGATCGGGAGGTGAGCGAACACATACCGGCGTTCGCTCACCTCTTGATCCTGTCACGGCTCTCTGCCGTGACAGGGGGAGGGGCTGGATTCCCCCCTCCCTGCTCCGATCCTCAAGCGCTGACTGGCGGAACGGACAGGGGAGGGTGCGGGTACAGCTGGCTCTGCCTCTAGATAGGCAGAGCCAGCTGTCACTCACGCAGCTGGGCGGATCGCGTCAGCTACGTCGGGATCCGCCCCGGCTGCGGCGTCTCAGTATACCGTGAGCTGTAGCTCCCTATATCCTGAGCTTAGGGTGACGGGAGGACGCTAGTTTGTGTCCTCCCGTTACCCTAAGGAGAACTATGGGGAAAAACACTGACCCCATAGTTCTCCTTTAAGTCAAATTTAGTGCCCCAAAACACAATAAATTAGCCATGTTTTTACTAAAAGAGGAGGTTACGACGAGTAAATAGATACCCGACATGCCCAGGTAAAAAATTGTGTGCGTCCGTGAAACTGCGACAAAATTCAGTACCCCAAAAAGTCTATAGACGACACTTTAAAAGCCCCCCACAGGTCATCAGTTTAGAGATGCAACGTAGATATTGGCCCGAGAATGATTGCTCTCACTACGGCGCGCGCGCCAATCCCCAACATGTAGTGCAATCGTAATTTTTATACCTAGTCGCACCCGACGCGTGTTTACCTGAAGGCTAGAGAGTGGCTAGTGAAGAGAGTGGGCAGTGTCCAGGCAGGTTGAGGCAGGCAAGATAGTGCTCAGTATCCAGGCCGAGGGGGAGGCAGGCAAGATAGTGCTCAGTATCCAGGCCGAGGTGGAGGCAGGCAAGTTAGTGCTCAGTATCCAGGCCGAGGTGGAGGCAGGCAAGATAGTCCTCAGTATCCAGGCAGAGGTGGAGGCAGGCAAGAGAATAACAGGAATGGTAAGACTCAGCAATGATGGCTGGAGACGAGCGCAGAGTCAGGCAGTCCAGATCGGCAACGGAACACCAGCAGTGCTCACACCCAGGGTAGCTGGAAGCAGCAATGTTGTGTTGTGTGGACCATGGTGCGGGTCCGATAGTATCCACTCCGTGGGACCCCGCTGATGTAGCATATTCATGTGTTTGCATTTTCGTTTCAGCTCCTCTGGCATACGAGCCTTTCTCAACCCTTGCCATGATCTACGAAGACCAGGGGGACATGGAGAAGTCTCTGCAGTTTGAGCTGATAGCAGCTCATCTGAACCCCAGTGATACGGAGGAATGGGTGAGGCTAGCGGAGATGTCGTTGGAGCAAGATAACATCAAGCAAGCCATATTTTGCTACTCCAAAGGTAGAATGATAATGGTGGAACTGATTGATTCATGTCCTTGGTTTTTTTTTGTTAATGATGTTTACTGTAAATGGATGCAAGTCAGCGGTCAGGTTCACTGTGGTGCTTGTCGTGTGAGTTGTAACATTCCAACAGATGGTTGAAGATTTAAAATAGAAAAGCAATTTTTGATGAGATTTCCGGGTCAACCAACCTTGACTGATTTGAGTTTATGGTTGATGCTACAGAGCCAAATCATCTTATGGCATCTTATAGCTCCTGAGGCAAATGTTCTTGAGGTCTACACCAAAGGTGAAGCCATTCTGACGGGTTCCCACTCTCCCCACCTAGTTTTTTATTTCAGTTTATATAACAAAGAAAGCAACAGGATGTGAGGAAGGATGGTCCTGCTGCCCAAACCACTCCTCTGTTGAAGGGTCTTCCAAATCCATCACTCCCGGGAATGGTGACCCCCACCACCCACAGTGCTAAATCATCTTATCTCTTGGGACTCCTGGGGCACACATGCTGAAGCCATTCTGAAGGGTTCCCACTCTCCCCACTAGAATTTCTATTTCAATTGATATAACAAAGAAAGCAGCAGGAGATGGGGAAGAAGGTCAGGAAATAGGACATCCAAATATTACCATTGTAGAAGTAGCCAGTAGATGCCTTGGCTTAGTAGACTATACCTACACTACATGGCCATGAATTAGTGGACCCTTGCCATCCCTTTCCAAACCCATGGGCATTCATATGGAGTTGGTTCCCCCCCCCCCCTTGTGGTGCTTAAACCCCACCATTTGTGGTTATTAAACCCCCATCTTCTGGGAAGGTTTTCTACAAGATTTTGGAGTGTGTCGGAATTTGTGCCCATTTGTGAGGTCAGGTTCTGATGTTGGATGAGCAGACCTGGCTCACAGATGGTGTTCCGGTTCATCCCAAAGGTGTTCAGTAGGGTTGAGGTCAGTGCTCTGCAGGACACTCGAGTTCCTCCACCCCATACTGGTCAAACCATGTCTTCATGGAACTGGCTTTGTTCACAGGGGACAATCATGTTCAGTCGGGTTGAGGTCCGGGCTCAGTGCTGGACACTCGAGTTCCTCCACACCATACTGGTCAAACCATGTCTTCATGGATCTGGCTTTGTACACATGGGCACAGACATGTTCAGTAGAGTTAAGGTCAGGACTCTGTGCAGGACCTTTGAGTTCCTCCACACCCAACTGGTCACACCATGTCTTTATGGAGCTGACTTTGTACACAGGGGACAGTTATGTTCAGTAGGATTGACGTCTGGGCTCAGTGCAGGACACTTGAGTTCACCAACACCAAGCTGGTCAAACCATGTCTTTATGGGTCTGGCTTAGTGTGCAGGGGCACAGTTTGTGGCTATAACATCCTTCACTCTTCTGGGAAGGCTTTCCACAAGATTATGGAGGGTGTCTGTTGGAATTTGTGCCCCTTTGTGAGGCCAGCTACTTATGTTGGATGAGAAGACCTGGCTAGCCATTGGTGTTCCAACTCATCCCAAAGGTGTTCAGGTAGAAGAGTTCAGGCCTGTTTGGTAGCCCAATGAGGGTGAGGGAATAAAACCCATCCACATTTCAGATCAATAGAAGGAAAGGGAAGACTGCGCCTGAACAGATGCAACTTTGGGAACTTTTACCTTACGTTCAAAATAAACAACAGCCAATGGAATGCCTTGATGGGTTTTGTGCTGAAACCATTAATCATAGAACTCTGTTATCATGCACATATCCCTATAGGAGAATGGGCAGATTGGAGGCTTCTACCTCCTTAAAGGAGAACTATGGGGTTCTCCTTTGAAGGGTTCAGCTCACGGTATACTGAGACGCCGCAGCTGAAACGGATCGCGACAATTATGTCTGGATCCGCCCAGCTGCGTTAGAGACAGCTGGCTCTGCCTATCTAGAGGCAGAGCCAGCTGTACCCGCCCCCTCCCCCGTCCATTCCACCAGTCAGCGCTGGCGGATCGGAGCGGGCAGGGGGGAATGCAGCCCCTCCCCTGTCACGGCAGAGAGCCGTGACAGGATCGAGAGGTGAGCGAACGCCAGTATGTGTTCGCTCACCTCCCGATCTACTGAGCCGACCTGTGACAGTCTCATTGTCACAGATCGGCTAGAACTATGAGGTGAGTGAAAAGCACCCACCTCATAGTTCTCCTTTAACCCAAACCCAAAAATAAATGTATACAGTGTATACATTTTTGTTACTTTTTAGTAGAGACGAGTACATGAGGTCCGTTTGTGTTCTAAATGTTCTGATCACATGTAGAATAATTGATGGTTTGTTCTACAGCACTGAAGTATAACCCAACCAACGTCCGTTACCTGTGGGAGAGGTCCAGCCTTTATGAGCAGATGGGAGAACACAAGCTGGCCATGGACGGATATCGCCGGATCCTAAATCTGTTGTCTCCGTCCGACGGAGAACGCTTCATGCAGCTGGCAAGAGATATGGCCAAGTACGTCATTTTACCCTATTTGTCTTTAAAATTTATGTTAAGGTGAACCTGTATGCATTTGCATATCCTTAAAGGAGAACTATGGGGGTCAGGGCTTTTCCACATAGTTCTCCTAAGGGTAACGGGAGGACACAAACTAGCGTCCTCCCATCACCCTAAGCTCATACCGCGAGCTGCTGAGAGTACAATTTGGACAACTTTTGTGCTTCTGTTGTGAACCTTGAAGATGAATTGCTTCACAACGCCTGCAGCTACAGGGGTAAGTTATTTTATCACGGGCGATGCCGTTTCTAATCTCTTTCTGAAGATGCTATTTGTCTGGCTACTAACCTTACGAAACACAGCTGGACCAGGTTTGTGCCATGAAAATAATACGTTGCACTTCATTTTTTTTCCGCAGGAGTTACTATGAAACCAACGATGTCGCCTCGGCTATCGTCATCATCGAGGAAGCTTTTGCCAAGCACCAGAATCTGGTGGCGATAGAAGATGTGAATATTGCCGCAGAACTTTACATCTCCAACAACCAGTATGACAAAGCCCTGGAGGTAATTCTGTCACATCTTCAATGTCCTTCAGTAGGCCCGTTGTCCTTCAGTAGGCCCGTTGTCCTTCAGTAGGCCCGTTGTCCTTCAGTAGGCCCGTTGTCCTTCAGTAGGCCCGTTGTCCTTCAGTAGGCCCGTTGTCTTTCACTAGGCCCGTTGTTCTTCAGTAGGGCCCGTTGTCCTGCGATAGGCCCGTTGTCCTGCGATAGGCCCATTGACTATCAGCATTGAGCCAGCCAAACAGCATAGAGCTGGCTTCCCGGCCAATGAGCATTGATCCGGCCAAACAGCATGAAGTCGGCTTCCCGGGCAATCAAGAAGCCAGGCAGTGGATAATGACACGCTGCCCGGATTCCTGACTGCCCGAGCAGCCGGCTCCATCCTAGTGGAAGTACCGGTATCGGTACTTGGTATCGGCGACTACCGAAATAGAAATATCGGTACTCAATACTGAAAAACTAGCATTGGTGCATCATAAAGGAAAGGTTATAACCTGTCGGATCTCCGGGGGCTTAAAAGGGATATTTCCCTTCACTTCCTGTCCGTCTGACAACATTTTACCAGACAGGAAGTGCAGAACACCCTTGCAAAGTTTCCAGGAGCAAAGCAGAAAGCTATATAACTGCTTTCAGTAGAATAGGGAACTATGTCCCCGGTGTGGATTTTCTCACTTCCTTTCAGGTGAAAGCGTTGTCAGCAGTACAAAACACAAAAATTCCCCAGCCTCAACCTGCCAGCCAGCCTGCAACCAAACAAGTAGCCCTGTCAACAGTATGCGTTAAAATCAGAGGTTTTAGTTGCACAAACTTGGCGCGGCAGTGCGGCTTCTACATATTTTTGGCCAAAAGTTTGTGCAACTAAAACCTCTGATTTTAACGCATACTGTTGACAGGGCTACTTGTTTGGTTGCAGGCTGGCTGGCAGGTTGAGGCTGGGGAATTTTTGTGTTTTGTATTGTTGTAAGCCTTCCCAATGTGCGCCCTGCTATAAAGGCTGGTTATAGATTCATGCATGTACCATTTTTTTCTAGCGTTGTCAGCAGGACAGGAAGTGAGGCTGATATGTCTTAACGGAGCCCCCAATAGCAGCAAATACCCTTATAACCCCCGTGCTTCCTGAAGGTGGTCATACACTATGTAAAGGATTTATTTGGGGACACCTGTATTAGAACATGTAGTCATAGGTAAACCAAGGTCCGAATTTCCATTCCGCGACAATGAGACGCCATATACCTCACCCGCCCACTTTCCATATTATTTTCATATTGGATTCAAATAATGAGGCGAATTCAGTTATTTCGGCTGCTGATTTGAATGCAGTTATGAGGAAAGGGGACCTGCTCGGCGTGTTCCATCTGGTGTTTGGCAGCAGGGCCGGGCGCACTGCCATAAAGATAAGATTCAGTATCTAACACTGAGCCCTGTATGGCATGCACAATGTTTATTCATTATAGGAAGCTGAACCATTGCCAAAGGTCACTGTACATCATGGAACGTGCAGCCGGCTCAAGCATCCCATGCGAGAAGCTGTCCGTCATGTGTAACTGAAGAGTATTGAAAGCCCAATGGAACTTTCAGCCTTAAGCTGAATACATTCCAGGCACATCAATCAAAGGTGTGCAGAGTCTTACAGGTAATGTTCCTTGAAGTGCAGCCACAGCCTGAGTAGAGGAGCCTGTCCCCTGCCAGCATTCTGCAGAAAAGGACCCTTGCTCTGTGTGTGTGGAAGCAGTCGTCTCTCTACAGACCACAGCTTGCTGAGTCAGGACTATAGCTCTGCAAGCAGTGGGAAGTGTCATTCTTATGTTGCTGTTCCAATGTTAGCAGTGACAATATAGTTAATATAATCGTGAAGGAAGCCTGCAACCAGTCTGCAGGCTTCATTCATACAGGAGGAAGAAGAGGGCCGACATGCCCCTTGCTGACTCGTGTCAGGAGACGGGTCATCTATAAGGAGACATCAGGGGTTTCCTAGTCAGTGCCAGATTTAAAGCATCATGGGCCTGGTGCTGTCAGTCACTTGAACAGGGAGCAGCAGAGGCAGCCCACTTGCCCCTTGCTGAGTCCCTGTGAGGCCCCAGCAAACAGGCTCTGAAAATGCCTGATTAGAGACCCACCAGGGCCTCTGCCTGATTGTGTTCATCCCAGCCAGCCCGGATTGCCATTGGGCATACTGAGGTGATCCAGGCCTATTTTCAGTGGTGGGCCTGGAGCTGGTGCACCAGTAGTACCTATGTTAAACCAGCCCTACCCCTAGTATCAACCGTGGAACCCGCTGAAACTGGGCAAGCCAGAGAACAACAGCTCTGAACCCGGAAGTGACAAAATCCTCATCATTTCCGGGTTCGTAAACTGGAGAGGATATCCTGCTGGCTCCTGGATTAGACGGAAAGGCTCCTAAATTCCTTATCAGCTTGGCCACCGTTGATGTTCACCTTGCGGGTTGCTGGTGGTCATTAAAAAGTAGCAATTAAGAAACTGCTGCCACCAGGTGATCCCACCCACAACCAGCTTTTATACCACCATCGGTTTCACAGCTTTGCTAAGCTACATTCCATAGACCAGTGAAATCTCAGTCTCCCAATGGAGAGTCATCAAGCATCTAATGCCTTGGTTCTCAACTAGTGGGTCCTGACCCAAAAGTGGGTCGCGACCCCATGATCAGTGGGTTGCCGCATGCCTTCCACTTTTCTATCCGAGGGGCTCCTCAGCCTCCCCCTAGCGCAGGGTGGGCTGGGGGTTTTTGCCGCGAAGGAGCTCCCTACATACATGCATTGCTTATAGCTCCCTCGCATATCCTATAGAGGTGCCTGGACTGGAGTGACATCACATTCTGGCTCCCGGCATCTCTACTGGTGCACATGTGAGCTGCACAAGCAATGCACATATGGATGGAGCTCCATCACAGCACAGCAGCTCATTGCAGTGCAACTTGGGTCGCGACTTCATGACCGAGGGCAAATGTGGGTCCTGAGGTTACACAGGTTGAGAACCACTGATCTAATGCATTGTAGACCCGTGATGTCTCCTTCAGGTCTTTGGCAGCGGTGGGCAAACTCCGGGCCCTTCAGATGCGGTGCAACTACAAATCCTAGGAGGCATTGCAAGACTCTTGACAGCCACAGGCATAACTCCCAGAGGCAGATGCATGATGGGATTTGCAGTGTCAGCACAACTGGTGTGTCGAGGTTGCCTACCCCTGCTATAGACTGTTCAAGAGAAGAAAGCCCATTTGATTTGCCTTTTTATGGCAATTCAAGAGACGCAAGTCCTCAACGTCAAAAGAACCGGGAGGCCTCTTCATTGTAGAGTCATGCCGAGCAGAGATTCTGGAACACCACAAAGCATTCTGTGCCACCATTGCTTAAAGGAGAACTATGAGGGGAGTGCTTTTCACTCACCTCATAGTTCTAGCCGACCTGTGACAATGAGACTGTCACAGGTCGGCTCAGTAGATCGGGAGGTGAGCGAACACATACCGACGTTCGCTCACCTCTCGATCCTGTCACGGCTCTCTGC